GAAGAACTACTTTTATTCTCATTTTACAGATGGGCAAACTAAGGCTTAGGGAGGTTCCCTTGCTGACACCTCACAGCAGAGGAGAGAGGCTCTCAGGTGTCTGGGGCCCAGGCTCTTCCTGCTGTTTGCACAGCCCTGCAGGTGTCTCCTCCTGGGCAGAAGAGAGTGAACAGAAGACAGGAGAGAGGCCATGGAAGACCCTGGCTGTGGTTGGGTCCTGACATCACCTGCAGAAGTTGGGAAGGCATGAGGGTGGGTTGGTCTGTCTGCCTGGTTGGTCCATTCCTCTGTGCCATCCCCCAGCCCCCTGGGTATGGGAGGCCCCTGTGCCTGGCCTCTAACCAGTAGAATGTGGCAAAAATGATTATTTTGTATGGTGGGCGACTCCAATTGGCTGTGACTTGATGAGGCAAAAGGCTGTGTTGGGGAGACCCATGTGGTAAAGTCCTGTGAACAGTTCAGACCCCAGCCGCAGCCAGCAAGCACCCTATCCTCAGCCCTACCTCCTCAAGGCAATGGACTCTGCCAGCAACCTGAGTGAGCTTAAAGCAGTTTCTTCTCAGTCAGCCCTGAAGATGAAAGCACAGCCCTTAGAACCCTCCAAAGCCAGGCCTGGGCTCCACACCATGGAAACTGACAAGATCAGATGGGTGCAGTTTTAGGCTCCCATGGATGTGGAAATTTGAGAGAGCATGGAAAATGGGTACTTTTTTTTTCTTGGAAATAGTTGTTTTCCCTTTCCTTCCAAAAGCTGGCGTGGCTGACAGAATGGGCCTAGGGCAAGGCAGGGAAGCTAGCAGGAAGGGAGGCCAAGGAAATAGGGGAGGCACCCTTTCCAAAGCCAAAACTCTCCTCTGATACCAGGTCAGCTGAAGGGCTCTTTGAAGGGACTGCTCCCCTGTCCTGCAAACCCCTGAAGAGTCCCCCTTGTGCAAGCAAGGGCTGAGTGGCCCTGAGCTGTTCTGTTGGTTGTCAGCATGTTCCTACTGAACACTTCCCCACTCAGCCACAGAGCAGGCTTTGTGGCCAGCCACCCACCAGGGCCCGTGATGTGGTGGCTTTTCACTGGGGGTCTTCCACAGGCCTGCTGGCCACTGTCCAGCTGTCTACAGTTCCCCATCAGGTCTGTCTCTCTGGCTGCCCTCTCTCCCCCTGGAAAAGACAAGCAGCAAGTCACTTGTCTGCTGCACCCATCCTATGTATGCCGAGCAGAGGGCAGGAAACTAGTGTCCCCCAGGACAAAGTGGTGGACGTTTGCTCTCAGCTCATCCTGCATGGAGGCTCTGGAGCAAGTGAGTGTCTTTCTGCCTGGAGGCCTCTAGCTGCATGATGCAGGAAACTGCAGCAAGACCAGCTAGGGCCAATTTTTATTCCTTTCAAAGTCCTGCCATAAATTAGAATGGACTTTCACTTGCAGAGAACCACGTACACCAAAACCTAATTTTCATTATTCATAGAATCATAATCCAAATCTAATACAAAGGCTGTTTCTTGGAAAATAAAATTACCTGAAAATACAAAACTTCAATGGAGGGCCGGGGATTTAGCTCAGTGGTTTCGGCGCCTGCTTCACAAGCACAAGGACCCCAGTTCGATCCCCGGTACAAAAAAAAAAAAAAAAAAGAATTCAATGGATACATTTTTGACATTGTTGGGCTGAAAGAAAAGTAAAGCATATGAGTATTCTTTACACCAAGTCTGCACTGACATAATTCTTCCTTCCGTCCCAGTCTATGGCTGGGTTTTCCCATTTAGATGGAAACAAGATGGTAGAAGACCTGGAATGTGCACTTCCTTTCTTATAGAGCATCTGCAAGTGCCACCAGCAGGTGGCAGACGTCTCCAGGCCTGGGGCGGTGGGGCGGCGGGGCGGGGGGGTGCAGGGTGCTGCACATGGTGCTGTAGAAACAGGGTTGGGAGCCTCACTGGCCTTTCCCAGAAGTGTCAGTAGGAAAGAGGAAGTGTGTACTTAGGAGGTAGCTGGGTCCGTCTCAGGCCTCTGCTCACTTATAACATCTGGGCTTTAGGCTGGTCATGCAGCCACTCTAAGCTTCAGTTTCCTCCTTTGCAAGATGGGGACGAGTTCTCTCTGCCCACCTCACAGCGCTTTGGAGACAATCAAATGACTGGGTTTATAAACTAGGAATCTCCACTGGCTCTATGTAGGATCTGCAGTGGAACCTGCTAGATGTGGAGCGGGAGGCCTGAGAACCCGCTATGTGTTCTGGAGGATGGTGGCATATGGGGAGTGTGTGCTTGTGTCCTGCCCTCTGGCAGGGGCTGAGGGGGCCCAGGGCAGCAGTGCTGGTGGCTGGCAGCTGGGGCTGGGTTAATGAAGTATAGATTGACTGGGCTGGGAGCTGATTAGCTCTGGCATCAGGCTTTCCATGAGCAGCGCCTGCAGAATCAATACTAATCCCTTGATCCCATTAGGGGCTCCTGTGGATCTCTGGGACAAAGTCTGTGCATCCCTCTCTTTGGGTGGTGTGAGGGGGCTGCTTAAGGCTGGAGGGAGATGCTGGAGCCTAGGCCATGATCCCTCCCATTATCTTATTTTGCACATTATGCCCAGAGGCCTGGGAGCCTTCCCCAGCCATCCTAGTTCCCCCAGCTCCTCCTGTGAGGTTGGTTATGATCTTGCACAAAGAGAAGACTTCCACCCTCTATCAGTGCCTGGGGGACTCAGGCTTCTAGATGGCCTTCACGCAGTGCTGGACATGGAACCCATACCCTGTGTGCGTGGCAGTTGCTGTACCACTGAGCCACAGCTCTGGCTCTGAGAAGCTTTCTTAACCTACCTTTCCTCAATAGACTCAGCAACTTGCCTAATGTCCCCCGCTCATGACCACTGGCAGCACCCTTCTCGCACTGGGAAGGCACACACCAAGCAGCCAAAACCTGTGTTCCCCTGTTTATGATGGTAGTGCTTGTTATCATGGAGTACTATGTAAACCACTGAAATGGTCTGTTGAGATAAGTGTATTGTTTCTATGAAAACTAGATTGAATGTTCTCAAAAGACACCATAAAATGAGTCCAGAAAAAGCATTCTCCAAATTAGGTGAAGATTGATAAGATAGTCATAAGCCTTCTAATGAGGGGTGTGCTCAGATTGGTTGTCCCTCAGTTCTCCAGTCACTTCAGCAAAATCAGAGCTGGAGATCTAAGCATCACTGTGTGAGGCAGATGCAGAAGAGCAGTCCAGATATCCCATGCACTGCCCCTCATACCAGGAGAAGCCGGACCCTGCATCAATAAGGTGGAAGGGCTGAAAGCCAGCCATTGCTGGGTAGTTTGCATTTGTAAAAATGATCACATATAGACAATCATGGGGAAACCAACTATATTGAACAACTGGCTCTTTAAAGTCCCGTATGTTGAAATGTGTATGCCATGTGTATCATTCTGAAAGAGCCTCACTTTGTGGGCTTTCTGACTAACCAAAGAACTACTCCCAGTCCTACTGGGTAGGAAGGCTTTGATCGTCCTCCAGAAACAGGCGGTATGGGTGGGTCGTGGGCTTGTCTGTAACCGGTCTTTGTCACACACGTGCTCACACATGCACACACACAACTCTCAAACCTTACATATAGCTCACACATGCCCTGCTTTGGGATGCCCTGTGTACACTGCTATATTGTTCATGCATTTAACACAGCACCTTGCCCACTGCAGAGCTATAGATGCCCAGTTACTCTTTTTGGAGTGGAATTCAGCAAGCTTCCTCTTCAGGCCTGAGGGGCGTGGCAGAGGCTCTCCACTGAGCACCTCCAGGGCTAGAAGAAAGCTGCTCCAACCCTGCAGAATGACAAGCCTTGAGCAGCCTCACACACTGCCTTGGCCCACAGGCCTGGCCTCTCCCCGGATGTCTGGCCTGACTTCCACCCCACCCTGACAGCCTGGAATAATAACAGCCTTTCTGTCTGAGTCCTGGACAGCCCTTGTTCTCTCATTCACAGCCCAACTCCCTAACACCCAAAGAGGGATTCCTTTGGGAAGGTTTTCCCTGACATGCCAATTCCAGACTTATTGGCTCTCTCATCAGAACAGTGTTCTGTGGGGAGCTTTACACTGGCCCTCTGATCTCACACTGGCCCAGATGCCCATCTCAGACTCAGGCTAGATGCAGTCCCAGCCCTAGGCCCTCTGCCCAAGGGGAAGCGCCAGTTCCCACAAACCTGCCCCCTGCTGGCCAGATACTTTCTCCACAGCTGGGACTAGCTCTGTGCCCTGTTCTGCTAATAACCGCCTGGTAATTAGCTCCACAATTTTGCCACTATGCTTATAATAACCTCCATTAAAGTTATGGGGTTTTCAAGCCATAATGGCTTCCAGAGTAATTAATGCACAACTGGGTTTATGGCTAAGTTTATTTTTAGAGCTTTTCTTGCTCACTCCCCTCGCTTTCCTCTCATGGATATTTTGACCAAAATACTGGATAACGCCCCCTGCCCATTCCCCTTACTCCTTGCCACTCGTTTTTCCCCCCTGCCCCTTCTCCCTGCTCCTAGGTCCAAGCAGGTGCCAGCATCCATCGTACAGGCTGCTGTGGCCAAAGAGGGTGGTTGGTAACTTGTCCAGCAAGAGAAAATGTTTAGCCAGTGTCCCTTGTCCAGCCTGAGCCTGGCCCATCCCACATTCCCAGTGACAGCCAGAGACACATTGCCAGGTTGAATTCTGGCTCCACCATTTCCATCTTTGACCTGGTGCAGATTGCCCTCTCCAGCCTCAGTGAATGCAGCTGTAAACCAGGGATCACAGCACTACAGCTTCACAGGGCAGCTGTGAGCACTGCCAGCAGATGTGTTAGCACTGAGCCCAGTTCTTGGGCATCAGACTGCAACAGGAAAGCCTGTGTTCATTAACAGCAGCCAGTACAGACGAGCGAGGGCTGAGCAGGTGTCAGAGGTGAGGGCCATAGGATAAAGCAGCTGCCCAGAAAGAAGAGGCATAAAAACAAGAAGGAGCTGACTGGGGCTCACCTGGAGTCCCACACTCACTTCTTCCCTTAGCTTTCTCCTTCTTGGAATTAGAACCTTCCCTGCTGTCAAGTCTCTAAGGACACAGAAGAAATCTTCCAGATATTTTAGAAGGCCCAGACAGGCCCAGTTTTCCTATCTTAGTACATTCTGCTGCTATAACAGATGACCTGAGCCTGGGTACTTTACAAAGGAAAGATGTATGTTTGGCTCAAAGTTCTGGAGGCTGGAAGTCTAGGACCATGGTGCCGGCGGGGGACCTTGTGCTGCTTCAAGTCATGGCAGAGAGCAGAGGTGCAGGAGGGATAGCCTTGCCTTATGATGCCCTGCTCTTGATAGATGGTACTGCTCCTGTGAGAATGGCATTCACCCTCTGAATGACCACATCATTTCTTAAGAGTGCCCCTGGGGGCACCACCACAGTGACTGGTGACTTCCAGCATAAGCTTCAGACCTTAGCACTTCATCAGAAGCGCACTAAAATTGTGCCAGCCAACATACAGCCTTGACACAGAGGCCTATATAGCCCTGCCAGGGGCCTGGGTGAGGGGGCCAGGCCCCTGATCTGGAGGGTGTGGCATGAGGTCACTCTGCCTCTCACACAGGACCCCCACAATCTCCACGGTGTGGGCACTGGGCTGTGTCACTTGCTGGGCCAGCTGAGAGGAGTGGAAGAGGATGCCGCACCCAGGCAGAACAATGACCCTCCCTGCAGGTCCATGACGCTTAACTCTGTGTTCCTTCCCACATAGGGAATGAGGGGTGCCTGCCACCCTCTCTCCACAGACTCTGGAGGCATTGGACCTTTGGTGGGAAGGGTAGGCAACAGAACCAAAGTGTTCTTTACTGGGAGGCAGACCTGGATCTTCCAACAGGCCTCAGAACTAGTGAAGATTGAGAAGGAGAAATGCAGCACACTCTCCCCAAAGCTGGGGCAGAAACTCTTTGTGGGCATGCCTCTCCACCCCACCCCCACTCCCACCCAGGAGGGGAGCACAGGCAGGCTGAACCTGCAGCCACTAGGCATTGCGGGTGGTGGCGCCTCAAGGGCTGCTGGGACACCCCCACTGCCCTCTCCTCTCTGCCCTGCAGACCCCAGCTGCATCTGCATGGCTCACTCAGAAGTGAAGACAAGAGAGGAAGTGGATGTGACACCTTCTAAGATGCCCGTGAATGTGATACAGTTAGTCTCCTTGTCACGAGAAAGAACAAGTCCTGGAGGGGGTGGCTGCCCACAGATGGTCAGCAGAACTGAGCGACATTCTCCTCACCGGTGCGCCTCTCCTGGGGCCTTGCAGCTGCTGTTTCTGAGAAGTGTCTCCCCAAGACCTAGCAGCCACAGGGAGCACCCCCTGTCCCCTGGCTGCCCATTCCTAGCCAGAATTTCCACAAGAATTTCCTGCAGCCCAGCCCTAAAGCACACCTTCCTTCCCCTCAGAGGAGGCCTTCCAACTCTGACCCCACTGTCCAGGCCATGAAAGACCCCGCAGGCCTAACCATTTGGACATCATAGTAGCTTGATTTCTCATGCACTGCCATCAGGGGCAGCCAGTACTGTTTAACTCTGAGAACCTTGGGAAGTAGAGCCAATTTTATGGATGAGAAAACTGTGGTACAGAGAGTTGGTGTACCTGGCAGAAGTGCAGCAGCTCATGGGCAGCACATTTCGGACTTTTCAGATCTCCATGAAGTCCAGCATTGCCATGCCCTGTGCTAGTGGGAAAGGCACAGCCTCATTCACCCGGGCAGGCAGAAGGAAGAGGTCCTTGAGGGGATGGAAACCCCAGCAGGAACCTGCGGGTCCTGATGTCCCCTGTGCTCAGGTCTCTGCCCATCCTCTTGTGCTCTCTCTTGCAGGTGTCCACTTCCGAGGGTTCCTGACCCTGCCCCTGGACAACCACCCCTTCTCAGACTCCTCGGCCAGGATTCTCCAAACCTGCTTCCACAATGGGTGGGTTGTGAGCCCTGGTAAGACCTGCTAGCCAGCGTTCGGCTTCTCTGTTCTCTCCATTCCTGGCCGGCCGGCCCATGCCTATTCTTTTCTCCCCTTTGCTGCTGCTGCTCCGTGGCCGCCCCTCTCCTGACCTTACCACCACTCAGGTAATGAGGAGCTGTGGGTGCAGCCAGCCTTGGAGATGCCGAAAAGACGGGACATCCTTGCGATCGTCCTCATCGTGCTGCCCTGGACACTGCTCATCACCGTGTGGCACCAGACCACCCTGGCGCCCCTGCTCGCCGTGCACAAAGGTAAGCCCCACTCTGCCCTGCTCAGCCTCCCTTACCTAAGAACAGGTTCTGGTTGTAAGGCATTAAGCAGCTAGGAGAGCCCTGAAGATCATCTGGGTCAATATTACCCTTCTGGTATCGCCCCGCCCCCAAAATCTGGTAAAAGCTCCCACACGCTGTTTTAAAATGCACCCGGGATTTGTTTTAATTTGCATAACACTAAGACCACTGCCTTGAAAGAATTCGTTATTCTGAGTTCCCAAAGAGAGGAGCCACACTGGGCAGGACCACAGGGGAATCACTGGGTCACCCCAGGGGCAGGCCTGGAGTTGGGCTGGGGGGCGTGTGCCAAAGCCTTTACTGTGGCTTCTGCAGGAAGGAAAATTGCCAAGCAAGCAGCCAAACAGACTTCGAAGTGGAGCATTTGAATCATTTCAGTGGATTCCAGGATATGAAGTGGTTTCTAATTATCCGATATTTGGCCACGGGGTGATTCAGGGCAGAGGAAGATGGACTTGTGTCTAAGTTTGATAAAGGTGGTGGTTTGGAGCAAGGGCTCTGGGCCTATCATTTGCATATGAAAGGTGTGTGTCAGGCAATTGTCTACTATCACTAGAAATTAGTACCTCTGGGAGGGTCCCTTCTCCGGTCTGCAAGGCCCTGAGAAGTCAAGGCATTAATTATAGAAAAATTTTAGAAAATAAGACACACACACACACACAGACACACACACAACTTTACATCCAGTTTTACCATGTTCAAGGAACAGACCACTCAGCGGCAGATGGGAGGGAGGGAGGAGATCTGTGGCTTTTATCAGATACGTTTTTTGTTGTTCTTTATGTTTTTACAACACTAAGGGTAGAACCCAGGGCCTCCAGCATTCTAGTCAAGCATTGTACCACTGAGCCACACTCACACATGTGCTGGGAAGCCTGTCTTTGTAGTGCTTGAGGCCTGAACTAGAGCCTTCACACTAAGCTATATCCCTATCCCTTTATTTCTTGAGAAAGGTTCTGCTAACCCTCTCAGAATCTTTATGGTGTTTAAAAAACCTTTCAAGAAGAGTGTGTTATGTGTCCCCTTTTCCTGCTTAGGAGATTCTGATCTATCAAGAGTCCTACCAGGAAGCACTGGGATTGAGCCACCCACTCCTGGTTCTGAGTCCCAAGGTTGCCTTTCTCTCTCACACCTGAGCTCCCTGCATTCCAGCACTTTCATGTACCCCATATCTGGCTGCCCCTCACTCCTCAGCCTTTAGTCTCATTCTTTTTGGGTATGATGAACACTTTTAGGCAAGCAGTGATTCTCCCCTTGCAATGTTTATCAACTTATTCTTTTTTTTTTTTCCTTTCAATGAGGTGCTGGGGATGGAACCCAGGGCCTCAAACATGCTAGACAAGAGCTGTATCACTGAGCCACACTCCCAGCTCAATGTACCTTCATCTTACATAGGAGCATGAAGAACTAGAAGGCACCCAAGCCCATCCCAGCCACAGAGAGGTAGCTCTGGAGTTGGGCCTGGGAGTCTCCTGTCACCACAACCCCAATTGGTTCAGATGCAGACTGTATCCACAGAGCAAGCATTTCTGCTCCATGCGGTTCAATATCAGGTACTGCAAAGCCTCCTGCAGTCCCTGCAGCTTCCTTGAGGAAAGGCCAAGCTCAGAATTGTTGCAGCCCTGCTGTCCATGCTGGGTACTTTGGGCCTCTCCACCTGCTGGTACTCTCTGCTCCTGACTCCAGCGCCTCTCTTTGGTGCATGTCAGTTTAGAATCATGGTTATCCTGACAATACATCACTCCCAAGGGATTAAATTACCATACATAAAGCAATATAATATTATGTCTATTGCACGCTTGGCAGAGCTAGGGTCAGAGATGCCAGGCTGTTTTGCTAAGCACTGGTGTTATGCCTGAAGGTGATGGCTTGGCATCCTGTCTCCCTAGGGAAAGCCGAGATGGATGGATTGAGTGGATCCTGCAGTTGAATGAAGTTAGGGTCACAACAGGCCTTCATGACTCAAAGTTGCAGAGACCCTGAAGCCAGTGGGAAGGGTGGTATGCAGGAGTCCCAGCATGAGGAGACTTTCCCTGGCACAGCCCTGCACCTGTTTGGGGTGACCTGGACAGCAGATGCTGGGCAAATTGCTCTAAATCTTATTCCCAAACCTCCATTTCCTTTTTTGACTGCAGGATAGATTAAAGCTTATATCCTGGTCAGAATCTTGGACATGCATACCCCTTCAAGCTTGTTCTCTTTTCAGTGTGACCCAGAATTCCTCCAGAAATCCTCCTTTGATGAGCTGCAACTGTGCTGCTCTCCTCTCTTCTCCCTCCTCTCCCCTGGCATCCTATCTATGGCCCAGGTAGCTGGTTCCCAGCTGCTGAGCACCAAGAGTAGCTCATCTTCTGGGTTCAAATGTATCAGACTCTACACAAAGCCTGTGTACACACCCCACATGCTGCCAGGAAGAGTGGTGGGCTGGGAGCAGAACAGAAAGGCCCAACCAGCATCTTCTATGTGACCATGCTCTTTCCATCCTCACTGTACTCGAAGGGATCCAGGAGGAAGTAGGGCAGCTAGCATTCTACACAAGAGAAAATAATCCACACTGTGCCTGGCAGTGCTCTGAGATCAAAATGTGTATTTACTCATTAATCCACAGAATAACTCAATAAAGTGGGTGCTATTAATAGTTCCAATTTACAGTCCCTGAAGTCAAGGCACCAGAAGCCAAGTGACTTCCTCAAGAGCACATAGCTGGTGATGGGAGAAGGGCATCTGAGCCTGGGCATCCAGGCTGCTAGGTCTGTCCTGTACCCACCACCTCCCTGCTACAATGGCACCTCGTGAGCGGCAAAGGCCACACTTCTATGCAGAGGCCCTTCAAACATAGAAACAAGGATACCAGTGGCCCCCATGGCTCCTCTTAGCACGACTGCTGGATTCCCCATGAGGAAAATGTCTAGGATGTAAGGAAAACCTTGGTTGCTGGAGTTTCCCCAGTAGGAGCAGGTTACCCCCAGAAAGTACAGGGGTCCCACATCTGAGTGTGTGGCCAGAGGCCAGGCCCTGAAAGTGGCAGTGTCCCTTATCCTTTGGGAGGAGACAGGAAAGAGTAGCTGGATGCTAGGACAGTGGAACGCTCGGTGTCCCGGGGGCCAAATAAGAGTGTTCAGAAAGTACAGATCGGGAGACTGGCAACATGCAAGAGGAAGGGTTCCACCATGTCCCATTGTGCATTCCAAAATGGAAAACTGTTTAAAATCAGGAATGGCGTTTAGGATGCACAACCCTCTTGACAGCTCCGGGCACAACCCAGGGGAATCAAATGCTGCAGTCAGACACTAAGCTCTAAGCTAAGATTCAAAGACTGGATTACATAAGGCCGGGAGGGAAAAGGCCCCACCCAACTAGTGAATGAAAAATTTGAGGCAGCTCACCTCAGGTTCCATGGGGGCCACTGCATGCTGCAGCATGCTGCTCTGGCCTTGTGGCACCCACCGAGTGTGAGTGTGGCAGTGCCACTATGAAGTGTGGCCAGCCCCACCAGCTGCAGCAGAACTAGGGAGGCGGGGGTCAGGGCACTTTGTCATAGAAAATCCAGTGCACTCAAGAACTGAGCATGCAAGCTTGGAGTACTGCCAGCTGCATTCAGACAGCAGCAGCAGGGCTGTCGAGTGTAAGAGGAGGAACAGGTTATTTGTGTCATCCTAGGAGTCAGCCAGAAGAAAATCCCCTGAGAATCCCAGGGATGCAGACTTCTGCTCTAGCTCTCACACATCCAGCAGATGAGCCCAGGCTCTGCCGGCCGTCTTGGGCAGAGGCCAGGGCTGCCTTGGCAGAGTGCTGCCCTCCACCCTGGATTTGGGGTGGGGCCCAGGCCAGCGCTCATGACCCCATGAGGCCTATCTCCAACTCCACAGATGAGGGCGGTGACCCCAGGCGAGAGGCTCCAGACCCCAGGGAGTACTGCATGTCCGACCGCGACATCGTGGAGGTGGTGCGCACGGAGTATGTTTACACGCGGCCGCCGCCCTGGTCCGACACGCTGCCTACCATCCACGTGGTGACGCCCACGTACAGCCGCCCTGTGCAGAAGGCCGAGCTCACGCGCATGGCCAACACCTTGCTGCATGTGCCCAACCTGCACTGGCTAGTAGTGGAGGACGCGCCCCGCCGCACACTGCTGACCGCGCGCCTGCTTCGCGACACGGGCCTCAATTACACCCACCTGCACGTGGAGACGCCCCGCAACTACAAGCTGCGTGGTGACGCCCGCGACCCCCGCATCCCGCGGGGCACTATGCAGCGCAACCTGGCCCTGCGCTGGCTGCGGGAGACCTTCCCGCGAAATTCCACCCAGCCTGGCGTGGTGTACTTCGCCGATGATGACAACACCTACAGCCTAGAGCTCTTTGAGGAGGTGCGAGGGCGCCAGGAAGGGGACACTCGAGCGGGACTGGCGATCGGGACTGGCGGGCAGGCCTGGGAGGGGCGACTAGAGGGCAGCTGGGTCTGTGCAGATAGCAGAGAAACAGGGAAGAGTGGAAAACCTTCCTGCGGCCAAACCGTCTGCCACCACTTAAAGGAAAGACGGGTCGTGTTCAGAGCCCCCAAACCACAGTCCCAGCTGTAGAGGTGTTTGTCCAGAATGAGGTTTTGAACTGAGGGCACTCAGTGTCGTGACCAGAGACTGCTCCTGTGGGACAGGCAGTCTGAGCTCCCTCGAGGTTCAGAGGCAGTGTGAAGGGGGTGAGGGATCATTCCATTTTGTGGCAGGACTGAGAAGTGTTAGTCAAGGAGAAGACAGCACCAGGGATGTGTCTCGGAGGTCAGCCACCCTGTCTAATGTGGTCAGGGCTGCCAGGCAGCAGAAGCCAGAGGCCTCCAAGGCCAGATGCGCAGCACACCCTGGACCCTAAGGGCTGCTCCTACCCACAGATCGGCTGTCCTGACTCTCTCCTCCCTTGTAGATGCGCAGCACCAGAAGGGTGTCCGTGTGGCCTGTTGCTTTTGTTGGTGGCCTTCGGTACGAGGCCCCACGGGTGAACGGGGCAGGAAAGGTGGTTGGCTGGAAGACAGTGTTTGACCCCCACCGACCGTTTGCAATAGACATGGCTGGATTTGCCGTCAACCTGCGGCTCATCCTGCAGCGGAGCCAGGCCTACTTCAAGCTTCGAGGCGTGAAGGGAGGCTACCAGGAAAGCAGCCTGCTCCGAGAGCTCGTCACCCTCAATGACCTGGAGCCCAAGGCAGCCAACTGCACCAAGGTGGGAGTGCTTACGGAGCCGGCAGGTGAAAGGCAGCTGTCCCAGAGCCCATCCAGACCTTCTGTACAGAAGTGGGAAGGAAACAGTAGCCTTGAAATAGCCTTGCCTTTCTAAAATCCCCACCAGGAAATGCAGTTTCTCTATCACCTGTGAGGCACCCACACTGCTGGCCAGCAGGGAAATAGGGAGGGCGGCCATCAAGGAGTCACAACCAAGGGTTTCTGCTCCCCATCACAACAGGGGTGTCCCATGATCTTGCTGCTGAGTGCACAGACACACATGCATGCACGCACGTGTACTACCATAGCAGGTGGGGACACACACATATCCATGCACATATACAAACTTACGCACACACATACGTGCATGTACACACACTTGGGAGATCTTGGGGCTTGTCCATATTCCATCGTTCTAGATTTCTCCTTTGCAATGGATATTTTGAATCCATCACGTGTACAAATGGCAAGAATGAGGGGGTAGGTAGAAATACAGAACAACTGAGAAATTTTGAGGGAACAAGGGCAGAGAGGGGAGGGCGGGAGAAATCCTGAGGTCACGGGAGGGAACGGGGAGGTGCTGGATGAGGTCAGGAACCTGCCCCACCTCTTTTCCTGTTTCTGGATCCAGATCCTGGTCTGGCACACACGCACAGAGAAGCCAGTGCTGGTGAATGAGGGCAAGAAGGGCTTCACTGACCCCTCGGTGGAGATCTGAGCCTCAGGATGCAGGTAGGAGGTCAGGCAGGCCAGGCCAGGTGAGGAGCTGGGCAGTGCGGCACTGGGGCTTCTCTTGTTTTGCGTGTGTGTGTGTGTGTGTGTGTGTGTGTGTGTGTGTGTGTGT